GCTATTAGGCTATACATTCATTTACATTCCATAATCTTGTTAATATGATTTTGAGTCGTGTGTGTGTGTGTGAGAGAGAGAGAGAAAGAGAGAGAGAGAGAGAGAGAGAGAGGGAGAGTTGGGACAAAATACATAGTGGCTAATATGAACACAACACCTAATGTAGTACAAAAAAGGTTAGTGGGTTAATTATTGGATAAGTACACTGGACATTTGTTTACTATAAGGTTTAGTAATGTATAAAACAAATTATCGAATCAAGATGATGCACTCTCAAACTTATTATAAGATACATAAATTTGACCTACAAATAGAGACACCATAACTTAATTAGGTATACAAATGATAAAACAAGTGGTTAATTTACTATGCATGAATTTGTAATATGTTTAGTACGTGACATCGAACAAGTTAGCTTCTTTTTTATTTTTCATAATATCCAATGCAGTATCTTATCGAACTTGTTTAACTAAATATTGAATTTTATCTTGTTATACATGAATCTTGAATATTACTACTACTTGTTTCATATGTTAATATGAATGATCTCATATATTGTTAAGACGTCTTTTATACTTTAAATTTCTAATTGGAAAATGGGCTTTTAAGTTTTCCCGACGTAGCAAATTTTTCTTAAACTGGTTTATACATTTGTCATTAACTTATGTTAAATCAATTAGCTCCAATATATGTGGTGCACTCTTCTCATTAATTTGTTTATTGTAAAAATATCAATGCTTGCAAATGTATAAACCATTATTCACAAATTAACTACATGTGAGAGAGAAAGGGAGATATGAAAAGAAGATGCTTGTAGTTTTATCAAACGGACATGAAAGAAATTAAATTCAACAAAATATTGTGAATTATGAACATTTTAGTACCTTGTACATTTTTATTAAACTAAGTCACAAATTCTCCTGTTTACATTATTGATTTTAGAGAGAGAGAGAGAGAGAGAGGAGACAGCAATTCTTTCTAGTTGACTTGTTCACGTGAAGCAAGAAAGTGCTTGGTTCATGGGTGAGTTTACCTAAAAGACGGAATTTAATTATATATAATGCATATTTTTGTATATGAAATTTATCACGTAGATACAAAGAAAACAACATAGTTACGCCTTACTCAAAAAGATTCCTCATTGAGTTTGTAAATGTACAAACTTTGTTAAAGTCAAACTAACGAACTTTCTTATTACTATCATAAATTCTTGCTTCGACGGTCTGAACTTTTTTAGTGTTTTTTAATTAACTTTTTAATGTATTTTAGTCTCTCTTCTGGACCTTCCCCCACTGAGATCTGCAATTGTCTGATTATTGTATTTTCAAAGATACTTCAACAACTATGATTTGGCATATTCTGATTCTTTTCATTCATCACGTCCTTGTAAATTTTTTTATTTTCATGAAACCTATCAACTTTCTTTACATTTAAAATCAATTTACAAGTTGTAGGCCCCTATTTGATAGAAATTAAAATCTAAATTTTTATCAAAATTAAA